TAAGAAGTCATGGATTATGGAGTAGCAGTTCGGAATGCGTAATGTTCCATTTGAAAATTTAGTTATCATACACTGAAGCAAGAAGAATCATCATTTTGTATTTTAAACAATATTTTCTAATGTAGCAAAGAAAACCTTTCTCTACAATGACTACTATGTTGGTCTTGGACTGTTGTTTGGATCAAGCGTGAAGTAGCTAGTATTTTTGTTCGTCGCAATCAGCCGACAATTCAGATATGTCGACTAGCTATCCGGAAAAGCACCAGACGGCCGTTTCGCCCTATTGGGGCTCATCAGTGGTGCGCATCCTTCGGTCCTCTGCGGAGGATCGAACCCATGATTGCTAGTGGTTCTTGCCAACTAGCCCGCAGCTTATGCAACTGTGCCATGGAGGACGGTATCTGACTATCATGAATTGTTAGCTAAATGTTAGGTGTGATCTGTTTTTCCTATATAAAGCCCAGCTACATATATATGTTGAAAAACAGCTTTTCCTGTTATTTCCTTCGGGTGTTGGAATATTTGAATACATTACCTATACCATACGTATATATATATATATATATAATTTAGTAGGGCTTAGCAAGTTGACACCGTAAATGTCAAGCCGAATGCAAGAGAACACGTTGCAGCGATTAGCGATAATTTACCCACTTACCTTATTATTATCCATTGCAGTAGATGGGTCCGCCATTGTTTGGCCTAAGGATTGTCAACTGTACAACAGTAAGACTTTTGATAATGTTAAAGTATCCCGATACCCGACTTGATGGGTTGACGAATCGTCCGGCTGCACCAGGTCGTTCCGTCGCTACTTGTTTAACATAAATCACTGAAAACATTTCACTTTTTGTTACAAACGAGTAGTGGGGCTTTGGTATCAGTAAAAGTAGTTCATCATAGTTACTCTCAGTCAGCAGGCTTTGGCTAGTTTGGAAAAGCAACAGACACCGGTGTTTCAACATGCTGGGTATCCTCAGTCCAGAGGACCCCTGCCGGGTTTCGCCCCCTGACTTCCGGTTACCAGTAGCTAGTGCTACCTCGCCCTGGATGACAGCCGCGGAACTGCGTAATTGACAGTTGTCTGTGATATAGCCATGCTAATTACGAACTGTGCAGAGGACAGCAGCAAACCCCACGAGTTAGAACTCGCCACATAGTGGCTTGGTAAAACGCAAGAACTTGGAAGCCATGCGGACAGATTTTATATTATGTTTTGTGGCATCATGCAGTGCGACACATCATCAACAGCGTCATAATCATCGACAACAGCAGCAACATCAACAGCAGTACAGCAACCATTTAAACTGATGCTTCGCTATCATACAACCATAACGACCTATGAAAAGAAGAATAAGGGGGGAAATCCGGCCTTAATCCCATAAGCAAACATTCAGGGTCAAGGCGCCTGCACCTTGTGTTGGCAATATACCGTCACAAACAGCTAGCTATTGTGCAAAGATAAGGCGGTATCGCTAAGACAACTTCCTTACGGCATTTACTGCTGCACGTCATAATCAGCCATTACTTCGCAGTTAGCTCAGCACAAAACACACGTTAAACAAGCAGCTCGACTTGAAGACAGCAGCCGACGCACCACTGATCTCGACTGTGAGCAATGTTGTGTAAAGTCTCGAGCCAAGCACAATGCGAGTCACGTGGACTCCAGCCTGGAAAGAGAGACGGACCGACGGCACCAACTTTGCACGTCAATAAATATAGTTCCCCCTGCCAACTCAGCTTTTGTCCACTTTCAGCCTTGTGCCACCCTATATCCGGCAAAGTAAACAAGGAACTTCTCCGTAAGCAGTGATCAGGCATACGTAGTAGGTGCCCAAGCCAACGCATCCTATTCAGTGCTGCCAGTTGTTTTAAGGAACTCGCTTGAGTATCACTGCCTAGCATTCGCGTACACACATCACCGTCGCGGACACACTGGTGCCACCCGACTCCAGCAATGCTCCGCAGAGGGCGATGTTCAAAGACTTAAGGGCGCTTCAGATCTTCAGACTGAAGAGGCCAAGTCTCAATCTCATAGAGTAGGATGGTCCGCAATGTGACTTTGTAAGCACAGCCTGTAGAAGAGCGCTCTTCTACGGAGCCAGGCGGATATGCAGCCCCGAAATGTTGCAAGCTGAAGAAGAATTTTTGCACAGAACCTTGATGTCAATTGGGTATCCTGAGAAGTTCATTCAGATTCACAGAAGGCCTCCTAAGGAGAAAATACCGGTGGTAGCTGCAGAGAAAAAGAATGTTTGTTTGTTCTTTCCGTTCAAAGGAGACCACGTATAAAATAATATCGGACATAAACTCCGCTCCGCCCTTACGCGACCACCCAGTTGCGACTCATACACACAACGCGAAGCCTTGGTCTTCATGACCCTCGGAGCAACTCATCAGTCAGTTCGGCCTCTCACGTCGTTTACCAGTTCACCTGCGGTTGCGGTGACATTTCCATGGCAGGACTGACCGTCAGTTAGCTCACAGGGTAGCTGAACATGTGCTGATGTGGTTGGAACAACTGATGACGCAACAAAACGGTGTAGATCCGAGGATGAACCGGAGCCCAGCAGTATCTATCACCAAGCATCTCTTGGTAACTCGACGTCGAGTAAACCTGGAGACTGCGTTCAAGGTGTTATTACGCAACAAAAATTCGATAATGTTGGCGATTAGTGAGGCTTTGCTAACTAAGGCTTATCAACCTGTGTTGTGTGCACAGAAACAATTGAGACAATCATTTAGTTGACCGTTGTCTTGATTTTGATATTTTGCTTGGTATGCCAATTTTTCCCTATATATAACTGCCTATGAATTCCGCTTGTATTATGTTTGCGACTGAGGAGAACAATCGAAATGTTGGCACATCGCAACTTATGTCTTCTCACTGCTTTGACGAAATGGCTGAAGGGGACCCACAGTTTTACCTTTTGACATCCTGTTCAGTTGAAATGAATAATCGAAATCCATAATCCTCAGAGTGGACTTCTAGAGATTTCGCCTCGATAACTGTCTTTTGAAAACTGTTTCAGTACTCGCCACTGAACTCCCGAAGCGTGGACGGTGATAACTCGTTTCAGATCCTGTACTACGAGCTTGTACGGTGCACGGTAGTGCTGCTTGGTGCACGCACTTGCAGACGATACCTCAGCATAAGGAAGTAATCTACGGTGTTGTTCCACCAGCCTGTACTTTAAACGGACATAAGAAATGGCTTTTTATAAACTTATTGGGGTGAAAATACCTTTAACTGACATCGAAAATTTGGGCAGTAGCTTAACGCATTTATTTTTCTTGGGGTTTTGGAAAACACATTAGTTTGTTTTAATGAATCATTGCTGAGCTTTTTATATAAGTGGCAAATTTCTGTTTTCGGTCGTATTTTCTAAATTCCAGCTGTTGCAGCGCAGCATATATGTTTATTAAGTAGTTCGCAGCCATATACACCCAGATCTTTTCCTACAGCAGCCGTGCGTACACCAAAAATATCCGCTTTTTCCATTTTTAATCCATCGCAAAGGAGCACTTGTTTGCGTTCATACAACTTGTCCTCCTATTTACCTGCATACTGAAGAAGTTTAAAGATGAGAAATCGGTAACGTAACGTAATATAAGTGTTCATTGCTAGAACTTAACAACAAACCTTTATGTTAAGGGAATTATCCTTTTCTCGTCTACTATGTGAATTGGAATTTTCGCGCTACAGATCGGTGGAACGCTACCGTCCTCTAGGTGTAAGATCCGGTTTGTCCGTAAGAGCACAACTCGAAACCCACGAAACGACAGGATGTACTTCCCCGGTCTTCTGTATCTGTCTTCGGACGACATAATCCATAAACTGAGGAAGTGCCTAGTATCCACATGCTGGAAGCACTCCAGTATCTCCGCCTCGACACGTGTCATTACACAGTAAACCAATAGGTCGCAGTCGACCATTGATCATCTCATGGAAGAGAACAGGCGAGTGGCCATCTCGTTAGACCAAGTGCAGAAGCTGTGTTTTAGCGCCCAAATTAAGCACAGCCCGTTTCTCCGTAGCATGCTCGTGTTGTCTGCGGATTTCAACTACCTCATTTTAACACTTCCCAAAGTGCAAAACGCTGAACATACGCCGTCGATCCACTTGCGAGCACAGGCTGGGGATCAACTTTTACAGGGGGCTTCTACTGAGTGCGACTTAGGTGTGATGGTACATGTGAGGCCGAGGAAGCATCCAAATAGGCCAACCAACACCTTGTCCTTGTACGGAGGGCATTCAGGCGTTTGACCCTTCAATATCCTCTCAGATAGTCAACGCCTACATTTGACCCCTTTTGGAATATGTCATTCACGCCCGGTAACCATTGCACAAGCAAGACCTCATTGCATTCGGAAAACCACAACAAAAGGAGACCAAGAACGTAAAGAGTCTGTTTCATGTACCTTTTCCAACTAAGGCTGAAAATCCTCGGGGTCTCCAGTGGATAATATCAACGCCTGCGTACCAAGTTGATAATGACAAACCTGATTCTCAGGAATGCAAACCATATTTTTTGGTTACCTTCTGAAGCGGAATCACAATACCAATCTGAGTGGTCACCAGGTAAAACAACTCATACAATATAGAATGCCGCCGGAATTAGTTTTCACTCCGTGTGTGTGCCAACCTTGAAACGTCCTCCCACCTTACGCTGTTTGTTACTCCACAATGACTGTATGCGAAAGACGTCTCGATGCTACATTCACGCGTTTATTTTACGCAAGGTAACCATTTATCTCCGGATGTCAAGCTAACACTACCAATCAAGGTGGTTATTATCACTTCCTGCTCAGCAATTATTAAACTTGGCTAACGTGGAAACTGGATTTACCTATCACATCGATCTAAGTAAACAGCACAGGAATGAAGGTTGTCACCGTTTTTTCAGGCAATGATTACATGAAGTAGAACCGCTCCCCAAACTGTTTGTGTGTGCACATTCAATTCACATTTCAAGTTATCATTATTCAGCAGTACATTTAACTGGGTAGACGTGTAAACTAACGATGCACGTGTGGCATTCGCTCACTTGGAGACGGCCGAGGCCAAACTTTTACGTTTACTGAAAACTCACGCATGCCTATTACATGTGATAGAGGATCTATCGTTATGTTGTCGTGTTGTGTTCACTAACTTCTGTAAATCCACTGTCGACCGTACAAGGCGAAATCGGAATACTCGGTTGGAGAAGTCGCATACGAACAGCCAGGAAGAGGAGCCAATTGTTTGTGATCCTAGTAAGTAAGTGGTGAATTTATCAGACTACAACTTGACGAATTGCAGTTAGAAGTTTTGTCATATGGGGGTGATTACAAAATTCCTCCTAGAAGACTGCAAGGGTTGTTTATAGATGCTCAGTTTGAGAACCTTTTTGATCAATTTGTGGAGCTTCAACCATACGGTCCTGAGAGTTGTTTGGTTTAGAAACACACTGACCGACGTTGCCTACGAAGTTAAGACTGTGCCAGTGACTGAAAGATGCGCACTTACAGGCCGACACCTTCATGCGCTGCATGAACTGTGTACTAAGGACGTAGTTGTGATGAAACCGGATAAGGGCTTTGGAGTGGAGGTCATGAACAAGGCCGAGTACGCTCAGAAAATGGGTATCATACTCAACGACACGAGCAAATTTGAACGACATACTAAGATAGAGAACGCAGCCGACGTTGAAGCTGACATAGCTGCCCATCTTGAAACACTTCTGCATCATGGCGTGATTGACAGCGACACCTATAATTGTCTGAAGCCAAGTGGCAGTACTACTCCGCAGCTATATGGGTCACCGAAGACGCACAAGAGTGGAGTACCACTTAGGCAGATTCTGTCAATGATAAATGCGACGCAGCGTAAATTGATCCGCTGGCTAGTGGAGATACTTTCGCCTCTGCGACAACTGTCCAATCCATATAGTCTTAAAGATTCCTTTCAACTTATCGATGACTTAGACGTCATCAACATTTCCGATAAGATCATGTGTTCCTTGGGTGGTGAACCTCTATTCACCAACGTCCCACTACAACAAACCGTTGATTCCATATGTAAGCTAGCTTAGCAATCTAGTTATTCGTTACCAATTTCTAAAGAAATCCTTGATTCTCTGCATTGCAGATGTTGGCTTCCACTTTCAGAACACGCTATATTGTCAAATCGATGGTGTAGCAGTGGGTGGCCCACTAGGCCCTGTACCCGATTTCTTCATGCTGATGATAGAAGGAGGCATATCCGCAGGAATAGCCAAGTTACGGTACTATAAGTGTTATGTGGATGACATGTTGGTCTTTTGTTCGTCGGAGCAGCTGATCGTCCAGTTGATGCAGCAACGCAACTGTGCACATGCCAACTTGCTGGTCACCTGCGAAGTGGAACAGAAGAACTGTCTGCCATCCGTAGACCCACTCATCAGTCGCATGGATGAAGGGCTCGTTAAAAGGTCTATCTACAGAAAAGCAACCTGGTCCGGCCAATACCTGCACTTCAACAGGTTCACATCAGTGCGGTACAAGCGGACCCTTGTGAAAACTTTGGTTAGTCGTACTAGACGAATTTGCTGGGCTGTTTGTCTAGCCGACGAGCTGGAGTTACTTACAACAACCCTCCTAGAGAATGGTTATCCCCGTAGCATTATAGAGAAACACAGCCAACAGCTGGTCCCGAAACATCTGCTACATATAGCATCAAGGAAAAAGATCCATATCGAGTTGCCTTTCAAGGAAGATTTTACTTTATTGAAACCCACGAAGCTTTTACTCTGTGCTATGCAGCGACGTTACTGTGCTGCTCAGGTTGTGGTCATCAATAGAACCTGTAACTTGCCAGTGCCTCCAACGAAGGAATCTCAACCGATAGGGGCCAACTCACATTGCATATACAAATTCGTGTGCGAATGCGGAGACAGTTACATAGGCAGAACCAATCGGTCTTTGACTTCCCGAATAAAAGAACACGTGCCAAGATGGGTTCAATGTGAAATTGATCAGCTTCCCTGTCCCACTGAAGTTCTGTGCTTACGCAAGCCGCCAGCTTCCTCAATAGGTAAACACCTACTGACTACGCGTCACCTGATAGAGTTCGGATCAGCGTTCACACTTGTATTACGTCACCCTAATTCCCGCTTCCTCTGTTTCGCCGAGGCTGTCGCGATAAGCCGGATGAAGCTGGCCCTGTGTGTTCGAAAGCAATTATTTATCAGCTTGACTGCCGCGGACATAGGGGTGGAAATTCCGTCATACATTTTGCACCTCATACTTATTTGGTCACACCCATAGTCAAGTATATAGTTGCATACCGTTTATCGTTAATGGTACTGGGGAGACAATACCAAATGCGCGCATCTACCAGCTTTCGTCTTCTTACTGTGCTTTTCAACTTTCTGATGGGAAGTAACTGTTTTAGATGCACTTGTCCTTTGGTTATTCTTCACTCCAGACATGCTACGGGACTTGTCAAGCACCTGCTTTTTGTTCGTGATAAATCACTTTTCATTGTGCCTCAGTTGCTATACTTACTGTAGTTCGTTTCTATCGGAAGGGGAAATAACGCCAACCAATCTACACACCAAACCTGTCCGCATCGTAGCGGCGAGGAAACCCATATGTGAAGGTCTTGATGAGTCAGTTAAATTCGGAATTCCCCTTTTTTCTGTCAACACAATTCAAGCAAAGAAAATGTTTTATGCATGATTGAATATTAAACTACAACACACACGATCTCGACCATGTACCGAAACAGCAGATCCTTGGCAAAGCAATACGACAAAAAACGGGTGCACAAGAACAAAAAACACAATCAACTTGAAAGTAGACTAGTTAGGTCAAGGATGACAGTTGGGATCTCGTAAAAGACGCGAGAGGTAAGAGATGACTGACGAGCGGTAAGCTTGTTTGCGTGCATAGATTAGCTTATACTACTGCCTGATATATGAAGTTAGTAAACGTTCATGTAAGGCAGTACGTAGGGGATGACTTTTATCGATCAGTATCTTAGAAGCCAGCTTGTTACTTTTTTACTTCTTGTAGCCTCGCTCCAGTCATCATACGGAATTTGTCAAACTAGCACCTTTGTGCCAGGTAGGAATCACCGTTCATTGCTCACAGAAGGTGTGGGATGTAGTGTTTGGCGGGCAAGAATGTACTTGTGCTCATCATCAGCCTTCCACAGAATTATAAATAAAATCTTTATTAGTATGACTGGAAATGGGCCTTGCAAACCACATGGAAAGACGCTGGAGATCATAGACACTGAACAAGGATCATCAACTCTTCGGGTCGTCCTTAAAATGGTACAAGGAGACCGAAGAAACTAAGCATTTGACTTATGTAGATCAGGAACGCAATGGCCTCATCAATTTAGAAAATCATCCTGTGAGGTCGATGTTTCTTCACCGTAGTTGGGCTAAACCGACGTACACTTAAACCAGAGCCTTTTAATCTGTATAAAATTATTACACTTTTTTGATTTGTTCAGTTCTATTATTTTGCTGCATATTCTGTGTCAATTTTGCGTGTTTGCTTTTCCATAACTTCTCTGTTGGATTTCTGATAGCCCCCGTCTGGCTGCACTTGATGTGTATGTTGGCTGCTTGTCTACCTGGCTAACACTCTCCACCTCGATTACTGGCTCCAGGTGACTGAGTATTTGCTCGTGGTCGTGCTCGTGGTCGTGCTAGGCTCAAAAATTGGTTCAATCCGGTGTGGAGTGGACTACGGCCCAGCCACTGTCTTTGGTATGTATGGTACGCATGGTATCCCACATAGATTGGGACGCTGCTGTTGTGCATCTTGAACGAGTGTGCATCGGCTCCGTTGATGGAAGGTGGCTCCATCCACATGCCTCCCAGTATTATTCCTTTTGGTATACACTACGTATGGGTGGTGTGAATGGAGCAACGGGTGGTGCAGCGCATGACACCTGATGGTCCCTCTGTAGGTGCAGGCGTCCTGCGGTTGCCGTATAGAGCCCGTGGTGACTGACAAATCCGGAACGGGATGCCGAAAACCATGAACGCAATGGAAGACTCTAAGGCCTAGGGATAATGATTGTTGGGGCTTAAAGGATACGTGAGCAATCCAGATCGGCTTATGAGAGATAGCGCAGACGTTACAGTGATAGCCGATTCTCCCTGAATGTAATAGCCGCATAAGCTGTGAGGTGCATTTGCCGGCACTTTCGGTCCACCGTGCCTTGAAAACTCGCACCTTCAAGTTGAAATGCTGACCTAGAGAAGCGTAATCCCACCACCTCTGTCTAACAGCTATACACACGGGAATTATCTGCATTTCTGACTGGGATTGAAGCATTGCAGAAGACAGGAGTGGGTTGTTGTAGTGTTTTAAAGCCGAGAATGAACCATGCACATGAGATGGATAAAGATCGTGCGCAGACAATCATGTAATGACCACAACATATTCTAAACACAATAGGCTTTGTTGTTTTTAATCGAAAATCCACCAATTGCAGAGTTGAAACTTTTGTCCTTCTTTTTCTATTCGTCAACGTATGGATATATTGTATTTTAACCTCACTGTGCACTTGGTGCACTACCACTCCGAATGATAGAGGAATGTGATATTCGTTTAGTGGCATCACGTTGGGTAACTGAAGCACCGCTCAAGTGGTACATTAGTACACACACACACATCACCGCTGACATGCTGACCACTTCTATCCGTCTGATCGCTTTCCCGATTTAACCGCTGTCCCTAGATCACTGTTGACCCGGAATGCTGACTGCCGGAATTGTTGAGCAAAATCAGGCCTACGTCTACAAATCTCGTCGTAAGTCATTGAGGTACATCTAAGTTTACTGTTAGAGCACCAAGTTTATGTTCTTTGCCACATCGAGCTTTGATTCTTTGATCATGGAGATCAAGGCTTGCGTGGGACTAAGCTTTATACTATTTCTGTGTTCCTTTTGTCGTGTTCATTACCTGGCGACTGTTTTAAGGTGCCAGTTCATTAGTCCCATTGACTGTTTAGTCGTTGTATTTGCTTGTGGATCACATTTCCAATCTGACGCTATCGAATTCCATTTCAGTGTGCATCCGGTTGGTTTATTATCTGCTCGATCCTCATTGTCTTTGGCTGGTAGTGCACTTTCAGCGCTCTGGTTGGTTTTTACATGTATACGTCATGCTACGTAAATAGTGGCATTTACCCATCCAAATGACTCCGAACCATGTTCCTGCTCGTTCCTGCTCTCATTGCGATTAGTGGGTGAAAGCAGTCCCGGGACTGGAGGCAACGGTTTCCGCACACCCTCTACGGATCAAGCGCTGCTCATTCACGTGCTACGTGAATTCAGATTCAGATGGACGGGAACGATAAGAAAGCCCCTTGAGTGTTCCTTCTTAAACAAATCGTTGAGCCAGGAAATGATAAGGTGCTAGGTCTTGATAGATCTAAAACGAAACACCCGAAACACACCCTGATCAACCAATTACTGCCCACGTTCCCTGCACTAGCATTCCCCTCTGTGTAGGTTACGTGAAGTAAGAATGAAGTAGAAAGTAAATGGAAGGTAAAGGGGAATGAAAGTCATTAAAAAGAAGGAAAACACCAAAGAGTGAAGAGAATGACAAAATATGAACTAAAAGTTTGAAGATGGATATGATCAGGAGAAGGGAAAGGTTTCGTGTTGCCACCGAAGAGCGTCTAACTGACGCTCGAAACCCTTAACCTTAGGTTCACTGACTACACCTTCTGGAAGTGAGTTCCAGCGCTCGATAACTCTACGCGATAACCGAGTTTCCGCCCTGATCCGGTCAGAAGGTGGCTTGTGTAGCTTCATGGGATGACCGCGAAGGCAAGGCAACCTAGCCGGGCTAAATAGCCAGCTCAAGTCCGGTCCAACCTTCCCAGTTAAAATGCGGTAAGTAAGGATTGATTTGCATCGCGAGGAAGATAACAAAGATTGAAACCAGCTGGGTGACAATAACTGCATGAACTTACCGAGACCCACTCTGCGGTGATTGGCCATTACAGTAGCCAGTGGTGGACGTTCATCCACTCTCCAGCAACATGTAGTAAATGGAACGATGGAACAACAATTTAATTAGGGTAATGACTAAAGCTTAAGAATTCCCGTAGGATGGACATGGAGACTACTGCAAACTATAGGGAAATTGTTAGTGGAAGTGGGCTCACATCGGTGGACTCAACGCGGTATAACCTGTGGTATTCTAAACTGTTAATCCACTGGAATTCCATGAGGCATGATAACCAGTCGTAAGTTGGCAAAAATGGTGCCCCTCCCAGTGAATACTTGCAGTCGGCGAAACCGTCGAACGCATTCTGGGAGCCGAAATCTCGAACACGCGCTGTTTATTGGCCATGGGAAAGGTGTCATGTGAGATGCTGCAACGAAATAAGTGCATGGTCAAATAGAGCTATACAATCTACAAGCGTGGGAACGCAGAAGACAAATTCCGGTAACACGTTCCACGCTTGGAAAACACGTACGCAAGCGAAAATTTGACTGCATTCCAAACGACTCTATTGCTCTGCCAGCAATAGGCCCTCAAGTTACTGTTGTGGCTGAGATCTAGCAAACCGCAGCATGTGTGGTTGAGAACTCAACAAATCGAAATGAGGCCCCCGCGCAATCGCCGATATTGTCTGCTTAAAACCCCGAAAACTCGAAGCCTTAGTTCATACGGTAACTGGTACAAACCATTGACATTCTTGGTTGGCCGGCGTGGGGGTATCTCCGAGGCGGTGAGATCGCTCCTCAGCCATGGCTGCGTACTCCCCATGTGGATGTACGTATGAGCCTCGATGATATTGAAGAATCTACAGGCCGAATAGTCCGAATGCATGCCTCAAGAAACCCACGTGTTGTAGTTACTTCTTCAGCGTGATTCGAGCCTCCGAGATCGGCCGGGAACAAAATGCCCAGATATTTTTCGCTAGAAGAACTTTGAAGCTCCTAACTGCCGAGTTTGTAGAAGCACACTAACTGGTATCGTAAGTGCAGCACTCTACATTTGTCCACACTAAGGCGGAGTAGACTCTGGGTCCACCACGCGTAAGCTCCATCCAAAACGGATTGACGTAGTATCATATCACCTTACATATTGCTCACCCACTACATCAGCATAGATTAGGCATTCCAAGCATATTAAACGTGTGATAACGTTGATACATCGACAATAACCGTGGTCCCGGTACCGGTCCATGTGCTACTCCGCATTTCACTTGTGTGGGATCTGACAGAGATTCACGCACTCGTACCTCCGAGCCTCGGTGTGGCAGGAAGACTCTTATGCAACATAGGAGAGTTGGATTAGCAATTTTCTACTAGAACGACAACTAGTGGTGAGGGTCCGAGAATCATTGTCTGATGAAATCAATGGGGCATGTGGAGTACCACAAGGCTCGGTTCTGAGACGTCGTCTATTCTTGGTGTTCATTAACAACTTCGCGAGATCAATTGCTTCAGATTTCCTGTTTTCCGCTGATGACATCAAGATATGGCGAAGGATCAGAGGACCGG